CTGTATCCAGAGGAGAGCATGCAGATCGGCTCCACTCTCATGAATGATGAGGATCAGCTGGTTGAAGTCGGCTTCAATGAAGGGAAGGTGGCTGGCTGGTTCAGCTGGGGGTCCACTCAAGGAGCTTACTATCGCATCACTCAAGACAGCGAGGAGTCAATAAGCGCTCTCGCACAGTAAGTGCCATTTTAAACATAGTTATGAAAGTGAAAGTGAAATTATTAATTGTGTATTATTAATCTGGGCTAATTATTAGTCAGTTATTCATAAATGCAGTGGTTTTGTTCCAAAAGAAAAAAAAAAAGAATGTATATTTTAAAAAATCATATATGAAAATGAATAATATATTAAAATAAAATACCTACCTAATTTAAATAACAGATTAATTTGTGCCAAATTACTATAGAGTTTAATCGGACAATAAAATGTCCCCGTTTTTAACTAAACAACAGTAACTCTCTATATTAAATATTGAATAAGTGAATGAATTTGTGCTAAATTAATATAGAAACTATGAAAAACTATATATAATTACTATAGAAACTATAAAAACTGATAAGTCTGTTAAAACTTTATTTTATGCATATATGTCACAGAGGTCACGACTGAGCAGACTATGGTGGACACTCCGGTGCCCGAGCCGTCCGTCCCGTGGAATCGACCTCACGAGGAGCTTCTGACCTCCGAACCTCCGAATGAATCGCTCACCAGTCCAGAGCCGTTCGCAGAGTCGTCGACGCCGGACGAGCCTCAGTATCGTTACGTTCATCCACGACCGAAGACACCTCAACAACAACAACCGCAAAACCCACAGGTGCTGATCATCGACGAGGACGAGCTGAACATCGACGGTGAGAGAAAAACACTGATTATATTAGGGGTAGGGCTGCACGATAAATCACAAAGAAATAACAATCGCGATTAGGCAAAATAAAGCAATAAGCCCCAAGAAGCCGTGGTTTACAGTGAATTTATAGCTGTTAAGCTGTTATAAATTCACTGTAAACCACGGCTTCACGGGGCTTATTGCTTTTATAAAACGGTTATTCCATATACGTAGTAAGGTTTCACAAAATAAAACAGAGCAAATAAAGTGTAATGATATAAATAAAAACTGTATTCTTCCACCAAACAATGTAGTTCCTCAGAATCAGTTGTGGTTACAACAAAGTGGTTGCCGAGCAACACACAAACGTAAACAAAGGTGTATGTTTGTAGAGTAATTTACAACAGCTTCGAACGCGGCTCAGCCAATCAGAATCAAGCACCGGAACTATACGTTTTATAAGCTGCGATAAGTCATGCGCATCTTGCACGGTTCTGTGATCAGCAGTAAATCTCCATCTGAAGGCCAGAGAAACTTCAAATATGCCTCGCAGAAGACTTGGTTTATCTGAGTTTGTCTTATTATAATTTTTGTCATAATAAAGTATATAATAATGCAATGCCTTTATCAATGCTTAGAATACTATGAAATATGTTGTGTGCCTTATTCTGTGTAAGAAGCCACATCATCTCACAGAAGGATTTATTTCAAACACTCAACTGACGTTATGAAGTGAGTAAAAACGTTATTAAATGTGGTATTTTTACGTGCTTTCAGATGGAGCAGCATTTACTACACAGAGCCGTAGTTCACGAAGAAGCTACGCAAACAGCTGTCATTATCGCAGAACGATGTCTTCGATTTATATATATTTTTATAATCGCGCTATTATATCTTCTGCGATTTTTTTGCGTAGCTTGTCAGTGAACTACAGCTCTGTGTAGTAAATGCTGCTCCATCTGAAAGCACGTGAAAATACCACATTTAATAACATGTTATGAATTAAACTCCCTAAACTATAGGGAGCCGTTTTACATTACTTTAAGGTACAATTAACAATAGAGCCCAAACTTAAATTCAATTACTATTGATTTTTAACTATAAAAATCAACGCTCAAATTAAAAATTTGTATGCAAACATGCAGTTTTTAAATTAACTTCTAAATTATACAATTTCTGTTTGTTGTTGAAATATAATCATTTACACAGTGGCTGTCAAAACTTGTTTCATAAAAGATCTTTTTAAACATACATTAAATAATTAAGACATCACTAACAGGTAAAGTAAAATAGAATTAATTATATAGTCTAATATTTCCTCTCTAGACTTCATTTCTCTAGTAAATAACGAGCTGTAGACACTAGCTATGTTTCCATCCAAAGTTACGAATTAAACTAATGTGCAAAATTGGAATATCGCATAAAACATTTGCGAATAAAGCACCGTTTCCATCCAGTGAGTTGAAGAGAACAAAATCGTCACTTCCTGATTAACTTGCGCTAAATATCATAAAATTCACTGCAGTAGGAGAAGACTCTGTATATAATATTTTTTCGTATACAATAAATTATGAGCTTCAGAGCGCGCTGACCAAACGTGGTCATGTTATCTTATTTTCGGAGAGTCTGCTGTTTGGGAACGCAGTTCTGGGAGTTAATTATAACAAAGCACTTTGACGAGACTTTGCTCAAGCATTTTAGACTGACAAAACTAGCATTTCAGATGCTGTGCGACGAGATCGATCCATTGGTTTATCCAGGTATGCTATCCCATTTTTTTGATGCGCATTAACGAGTTTATTCGGTAAAAGTGTTTGCATCGTAGTTTATGCGCATGTTTTCTTATCGGATAAGATCCAATTTGTCCTACTTAGTTAAGCGCATACGTCTTTTATGCGCATTTTTAGAATTTATGCGCATCTTGGCGTTTCCATCCAGCGTCTTTTTATGCGAAATCCCAAAATGCGCATAAAAATAGGTGGATGAAAACATAGCTACTGATGACTTGCCGGAGGTAAATGAAGTGACATTTTGTTTACAAGCTGTTTTAATGACGTCTGTAACGTAGTTCGTAGTCACGGGAAGAAGGAGGCGGGAACCGGCGGACATTTAAACAAACTTTAATAAAATAAACAAACACAAAATAGCCCCTCGCGGACGACTGTCGCGCACAAACAAAACCAAAACACAAAATAAACTCCAGGCCTGGTCCTCTCTCGTCTTTCACTGTCGTCCCTCCTCCTTTTTATCCTTCCGGAGCTCCTCCGTGAGACTCGAGACCGGTGAGTGGTGCAGGTGTCGCTCATTATCAATTACTCCACCGGCCTCGCTCCGTTCCCACGGCTCTCGGCCCCGCCCCTCTCGTCACATACCCCCATCGCAGGCCGGGGGATACTCACGAGACTGCGCTCTACTCCCCGCCTTCCCCCTCCGGGGGAGCCGATCACAGCGGCCGCGGCGTACCTGGGGGTAAGGACAGACAGACGAGGCGAGAGAAAAGGAGACGGACGGATGAGGAGAGATATCTTTCCAAGATTCATGATTATTTCGCGTTATAACTAGTAGTAAAGAGGAAGGGATGATCGCTCTGCCATCAGAACTGAGGCATTTATTCAGCGATCTGTCTTGCCACATCAAAGAAAGCCAAAACGGCATTTATTATCTGAATTTCATGGAAAAATGGAATGATTTGTTTGGAATACATGTGAACCAAACCGAAAGACCTGTGTACCGTTACACCCCTAAATTATATTCAGCTGAACAAGTCTAAATTGTGTGTCCATATCAAATGTTTCTTTTTTTGGCAGTGTTTTCTTATAATTACGAGACGTGCTCCAGTAACAAGCACAAGTGCTCTGTGTTCGCCGACTGCAGAGATTACGCTGCCGGATACTGCTGTCACTGCAAACCTGGTTACTACGGCAACGGCAAGGATTGTGTCGCCGAAGGTGAGTTTACGATTGCATCGCAACCAGGTTTATTATCGCTTGCTAAAACTAAATTTAAAAAAATTTATTAAAATTAAAATAAAACAAATGTCTTCACTTGAAGTAACTTGAAATAAAAAAATAAACATAAACTGAAATAAAATAAATTCTAAAATAAATTTTAAATATATAAAAAAACTTATTTTATTTCAGTTCTTTGCTGAAATTTGTTTTATTTTAATTAAAATTTAAATAAAATGTCTTCACTTGAAGTAACTTGAAATAAAATAAACATTAACTGAAATAAAATAAAATAAATTCTAAAATAAATTTTAAATATATATTTTTAAAAAACTTATTTTATTTCAGTTCTTTGCCTAGGAAACATTTCTAATTTTTGTTTAGTTGAAGCACTAACATATCTAAAACTAAAGCTGAAATAAAAAATAATAAAAAACTATAGAGATTAAAAAAAAAAAAAAAAACTGAAAAAAACCACGCACACAGCAAAATCAGTAGAACTTGAACTCAAATTAAAATTAAAAAAAAAAAAATAATCCACATATTAATAAAAATGATAATAGTATATTTTAATGATATTAAAATAACACTGGGTCACATAACTAACTCAGATAATTAACTCTAAACATACATTATCAGGATATATATTGTTTAGTTTGCAATAGTAGTTGACTAAAAATAAAAATAAAAGCATAAAAAAACGTTTTTGTTACTTGAAATACAATAAACATTAACTGAAATAAAATTATATTTAAAAAGTAAACTTATTTTATTTCAGCTAGTTGCCAGGGCAATATATCTCGTTTTCCTTTAGTTTAATTTTAACTAAAGCTAAAACCATTAAAAAAACATTTAGTCACTTGATATAATGTTAACTGAAATAAAATAATATATTTTATGTATATATATATATGCATACATATGTGATGCGATCTAGGAAAACTCACGCTGGGACGTTTTCAGGAAATTAAAAAAATAGGTCGAATGTCAATTTTTGGTATAAAAAAAATTGGGTTGTCATTAAATTATTATTCTATAACATCTTGTCTATCATCTCTGAAAATATATTGGCAAAAATTCACTTGTTTAGTGCTGAAAAATAGCGATTTATTGCAGCAAGCAGAAAAGACTGTCTTTCTCTAGTTTGCTAACACGCGCTGCGGAGGTGCTTTCCCTTAAAGGGGTCATATGATGCGATTTCATTTTTTCCTTTCTCTTTAGAGTGTTACAAGCTCTTGGTGCATAAAGAAGATCTGTAAAGTTGCAAAGACTAAAGTCTCAAATCCAAAGAGATATTCTTTATAAAAGTTAAGAGTTAGCCACACCTACCTAAAACGGCTCGTTCGAACACGCCCCCACATACCTACCTCACTATGTGGGAAGATTTGCATAAAGCCGCCCAAATGTTCACGCAAAGAAAGAAAGCATAACTTTTATTCTCGCTGTAGTATTGTTGACGCTGCAGCCATGTCGTGAAGACGCTGTGTGCTTCGTTGTGAAAGCGAAACCACTTTGTTTGGTCTTCCAAAAGAGGACGATATCATTACACCAAATACACAAAATAATGTTCTTTTTAGCAGCATCATATGACCCCTTTAACACTTAACACTACAGACAGTTCACCTATCAAAATAAACTATGTAACGTATATAATAAAGGTGCATCAATACATATTTCCCGCTAGTCCTGTGTGAACTACAGCATGCAAAGTTCGGGGAAACGTTAGTCTGCTTGTGTAATGATGCATTATAGCGCTCCTGACAGAGCTCTCACTCTTAAAGGGACCAGCACCATTTTCATATTAACGCTATGCATTACTTTCATTTAGTTCAAATGGTGACAGCGTGAAATAAAACTACAAGTTTAGAACACAAAAGTAGTGCTGAAGTCCAATTAAAGACATACTTAGTATATTTGATTGTGCTAAAGTGGAACTATTGCAAGTATACTTTAGGTACACTTTAAATATTTTGCATTTAA